GCATTCTCCACACTCGCATCAATCCCCATCTCCAAATTCGCTCTCTCTTCCTCCTCTCCAAGACCCAACTGATCCTTCGGTATCCAAATCGTCCTCTGAGGCCTCGACGCCGCGGGATGAGCAAACCCATACTCTTCCTCTGCCCGTGGTTTAGGTCTGTCGATCGGTTTAGGCGCGTCAGGGTCAGGTTCCTGATCATCATTGTCATTGTCATGAAGGTTCGCTTTGCCTCCTTCTTCAGCAATAGCAGGACTGTTGTGGATAGCGGAAGATTTGAGGTTTTCATGTTCGACTTCACTGCCATCCACACTGGGACGAACGTTTCCGCCGCCACCACTGGCTCGGTCGTGCATCTCGACGTCGTTCGATCGGCCGTTCGGGCTATGAGGGACAGACTCGTCGTCCACGTCTGCAGCCGAATACATTTTCTCTGCCAATGTGAGAGGAAGAGCGTGGATGAGAGGTCCGTATGAGTTCTTGATGATGACATTGAAGAAGATCTAAGGGCACATATGTCAGTATCACAGATAGGACAGAACACCAGAGCTGTTGTATAGCAATACAAAGCACACTCACAGTAACCACAATCAGCACAATCATCAACGCACCCTCCGGCACTGCCGACGCATTACTATTCTCGTCCCTGGCCAAGAAGAACAACGCGGCTAAACAGATCATCTGCAAATACAGACCCGTAAACGTTTTGCTGGATCGCTTTCGGGAAGAACAACCCTCCAGTGTCTGTGGTAAGATCTTGTTGATACGCCCAGAGGAAGAGGTATTTGTATAAGAGATAGAAGAGGAAGAAGGTCGCACAAGCGAGACCGTTAATGATGGGAGAGATGATGGAGTAGGAAAGGGCTATTTGTAAAAGCGAAAACGGGTCAGCCATACAACTCCATAGAACCCAATTGGAGTACTTCAAGTACTCACAAATCACAGTAAGCAACGTAATCCCAGGGAATAACGTTCCCCAAGCCACACTCCTTGCGCCATACTTGATCCCCCAAACACTCCTAGGCGTCGATCCCAAAAGGTACAGCTTGACATAGTATATCACTAGAGGCACAATTTGCAGGAAACCACCTGCGGCACCGGAGAGACCTTGGAGAATGACATAGCTAGAGATAGGGGTTTAATCGGAGTTAGCAAAACGGGGAAGAAGCAAGAGAAAAACATGGTTCCTTCCAAGACGTAAAAACTCACGTCAAGAAGAACGTCGAAGCCTGCGGCAAATTCCGCGCCAACGTGCTCGGTATACTCGCAGGCGAGTTCAACAAGTCTTGCAACGAAGCAACGATACCCGAAGAGAGAGTCAACACTATAAACGAGTGCTACAAAAAAAAAAAAACAATGTCAGATTGGTTTTTTTTTTTGTTCCACTCCCACAGAACAAAAAATCAAAACTCACCACAACCTGGAACAAAAAGAACCGATCCATCAAACTCAACTCGACACCACTCCTCTTCGGTATCCCTTCAAACGAAGCCAGCAACCTCAACACGATCGGTAAAAGCATCATGAGCACGGCGAGCAACACCGGTGGCAGGATACCAGATATGATTCCAATCACCACAGGGGGAAGATTACAAAGCCAGTTCAGCCAACTAGCAGTCGTACATACGGTGTGGATGTTCGACACGATACCAACGAAGGAGACTAGAATAAAAATAAGAAGGGGTAGAAAAGAGAGTTTATGCGTTCAGATCAAGCAAAAGGGCGGGAGAGAATCACAATAACGAACGACAACTCACCAGGAATAGCCCAGAAAATAATCAACGCTGCCGTCGCACCCCACGAAATCACCCACCTCACCTTCATCTCATACTCATTCAACCCAAGGTTCCCCCAAATCACGTCACTCGGCGATACTCCAATATGTTTCCCGCTCATCCTGTACGGATCATGATGTACCAAAGCCTGTCCAGCCAAATGCGCCGAAATCTGTTTGCGGAAAGTGATAAACGCAGCGTTCAATGGAGGGTAAGGATTCGACGCCGTCGCTTGCTCATTTACGGGTGAATTACCCGTCTCAGGTTCAGCTCGGACATTCTCTGCTCCTTCAGTTTCTTCCTCTTTGTGGACATGCTCAACATCAGCACCTTCCTCCCCTGCACCTCCATCCTTCCTATTCCTATGCCTAACAACCGTTCCGACCTTCTGCACCCCGCTCCCGACCTTCCCACCAACCTTCGCACCCACCCTACCCACTTTACCGACAGCCCCTATCACACCCTCCTGTCCACCAAAATCATCGTCCGCGTCGGAATCAGGGTCATCGAAATGGAAAGAGTGTCTCTTGATATTCTTCGGGTTATATCCAGGGATCTGTTTTCGCCCTTCCTCGAGTAAATCAGTGCAAGTCTTGATTTCCTCCCGACACCAATCGATCGTGTCGACTTTTTCGCCAAAGAGTCCGAGGAAACCGAGTTTGTGAGTCGGGCGAGATTCACGAGGGATTTCTGGGATAGTCCCAGAGTTGGCAGGAGCGGCGGATCCGGCTGCTTCGGGGTCTGTGTGTCGGAGAAAGAAACAGGATACGTCGAAAAGCGTGACATGTCATCGGAAGACAGGGGATGATAGACGGATTGCAGGGATGGCGAACAGGGTCAGGTTTTTCGACCGGAAGCACGTCAACAAGCACCGACAGCAAAAATTGAAAATTCGAGGATAAAAAAATGAAACGGTTCGCAGAAGCGATAAAATAGTCAGCCATCTCGTATGCTTGTTGCAGAAGAATGGCTAAAGATACGCACCTTTCTCCGAAGACTTCTTCCCTTTACCCTTCGATTCAGCCTGCTTCAGCTTTGCCGCGATACCAAGGAGCTTGGTTTCTGCGGATTCGAGCTTGCCGCATGCTGCTAGACGGCGGTCGTAAATATCCGGAAGGTCGCCCAAGTTCCTACATTAGAAATCGAATAAAAAGACCGCGGCAAATGTAATTTTAGTTGATCGGTTCAAGTGCGGAAAAGGAGACAAGAGAATCGGGAGCGCTCGCGAGGAATTGCATCATAACCATCGTCAAGTGAATAGAGAAAAAAGCGCTCTGGATGAACACATAGGGGCGATTTACGTACCTATTTATCCATATCGTCTTGACGCCACCCGGGAGAGAACCGAAAACCGTACGGAGGGCAGCATGAGTAAGATATCTAGCAGGGATACCAGTGATTAGCACTGTGTTCGCTTGAACGGTCTTGGAAAAGTTGGGGTTGATGAGGTGGAGCTGACGGGTCGTGACAAAATGACCCATTTCTCGGTAAATGTTGTAAAAGACCCAACCTGTAGTCAACGACAACCGGGAGAGAGTAACGTTAGACAAGAAGTGGAGTTAGTTTGACAGGAGACGCACCAGTGAAGAAATAGACGAGGATGATGTGGCGGCGTATCGTTCAGACTGGTCATTGGAGACATTGCCAAAGATGAAGCGGTCCAGACCGGTGTGACCATCGACGCTAGTGCCAACACTGGTGATGGGAAGGAGAACGGCCCAGCTGACGAGCCAAATGGGAAGGAAGATTTTGACCATCATGCGCAAAAAGCGGACGAAAAAGTAGGCGTCGAGACCATTGGCATGTTTGATTTCTTCGGGGTCGGATATGAAAACGGCGTAGGGCCATGATAGGTACGTTTTGAGGTCGAGGACGCCCTTGAAAGAAGGAGTAAGAGGGGCAATGCGTCTGGATTTGGGAGGGACATAGGTGCGTGGTTCGTAGATAGCTTTGAAATAGGGACGAAGGAGGGTGAAGACACCGATTTCAGCACCAAAGACAATGGCGTTGAAGACGAGGGCGGTGACAAAGGTCGGGGTGGACGCTGACTGCGCCTCCTGACGGTCGCTGTCAGACATTGGGGAAAGCGAAGTTGGTTCGACTTTCTCAACACAAGGTATAAAAACAAGGGTTGTAGTGTGACGTCACATCATTCAAAAATTGATCTTTCCCTCATATCACAAAGTGGATCTTTCATTTTCTTCCGTCTTCCGTCGTTCTCATCACATTGCTGCACTGCAACGATTCACTTTTGCTCAATCTTCTTTTTGTTTCTCTCAGAAAGAGAAAAAAAACAACCAAATTCATGTTCAATCAAACCGCAGACCAATCAACTTGATCAAAACGCACGTCGTCTGGGCTCTGTTCGATCCTTCAGCCAATCAGATACCGGTGACCCTCAGCATCCGGAGACATGTCTTCCAACCCCCAGCCCTGCATACATTCTACAGGTCTTGAGTCAATCCATGTCTTCTAGTTCATATGTCGTTGACGTGAAGAATTCCCATCCGGGACAGTCCGTCGTTCTAGACCTAGCCTATTGCTGTGCAGCTTCTCAACGACAACTGATTGATTCGTCTGTTTACTGCTTTGTACAATTATACTTGCACCGCTGCATTATACCTCCGTGACCAGAAATAGTTGCGCAGCAGAGCATTGTGGACAACAGAAAACACTTGGACCTGCACGAGTCGCAATCCCCCTGTCTAGACGTCTATACTGCGCACCCGAACGAGAATGTTGATCGATCCCGAAAGCTGAAGTCACCGCCCGGGGTCTGACCTCTATGAATCATAAACAAACATAATCATTGGTCCCTGCAGCTCCACCACAAGGGGAGATTACCTTGCTCGCAAGGTCTCTTCCGTGTCATAATTATGTCATCCTTTTTTTCAAATAAATGTAAATAAATCGGTCCGCTCGAGACCCGACACGAAATGAACACAAAGCCCATGGTTGCGTGGTCAATAAAGAGCTGCAAAAATGTGCACAAAGCCCATAGTTGCATGGTCAATAGAAAGCTGCAAAGATGCAGAGGTTTTCTACAAAAACCTAGGCCTGAGTCTTGAAAATGATTGGTGACCCAATGGTGCGAGCAAGGTCTCTGACGATGAAATCGGCCCTTTCCCTAGTAGCTAAATGATGTCCAAATATTAATGTTGTACCTGTGACGTAGTAACGTCAAAGATCGGGTTCAACAGTATCCAGTTACTTGGCCTGAAATCATGTTCCATCATGGTGTAGTGGCTAACATTATCGCCTCTCATGCGAGGTCGCTAGTGTCAGCAATCTGAATTAGACGCGATAGCCCAGGGTTCGATTCCCTGTGATGGAAATGGTTGAATTCTACTTGGTTTTTTGCAGTGAACTTCCCTGACAGTCATCGTTATTACGTTTTGGATTTGGATAAGACTCAGTGTCTCTACATATCAATCCAGAACGAGTTACTCATCAGGTAAGTGTTCCACCTTTGTGTCCTGAATAAGTACCCCTTCCTTGAGTTCCATGGATGCAGCAGTGAGGCTCGTTGAGTGGCGGTGGGTTGAAAATTACTTTCAAATTTATCAGTTTCCACATACTTACTGTATCGCCGGAGTTTATGTTATAATGGCGGGCTGAGCCTAGCCTCGGTGCGTGTTTAACGCGTTTAACGAGACACAATCTCCCGAGTTCGATACTGGTCATAATGTATCATAATTATAGACACAGAGTCAGTACGAGCTCGATTTTCTAGTACTTAAATCAATGCTAGCACTCCGCATCCAAAGTGCACGTGGTTGCTTATGAGCACTTTCTTTTTCTTCATTTCACAAGTCCTTTGCGCTCTTACAAATTGAAATATTATCTTCAAGATCTACACGCATGCCATCATTACACATATAAGTATGTATGTACTGACCCAGGGTATATAGTGTGTGCCCACCAACTTCGAACAACACAGACCACTTCCTCCTGTATCACACCATGGTTTTTAAAGTCATACACCTCAAACGGCATGGTATTTCCCAACTCCGTTACTATGCATAAAGGTAAGGCTCACTCTAAGACCCGAATCTACTGTAAAGTCATACTTTCTAGTTGGACAGACGTCGACCAAGGTATTGGTTTTTCAATGTCACAATTTCATGGAACGTTGGAGAGATTTCTAGAGGCATAGGCCACTGTTGCTTGACAGCAACTTGGCTTCTTTCAGTTGTCAGACTCGTCTGGATTGACATGAAGTCAACGTACGTTACTGATTTCTTTACTCTAAAACAAGATTACCTGTGTACGACGTTTGAAAGATTTTTAGA